CCCTGGAGCTCTGCTCCTCCTGCCACATGCATCACCCCTGGGTGCTGATCCCTGGCATGCCACCCAGAGCCGTGCAGGTGGGGAAGATGAAGGAGCGGCTCGAGTCAAGAGCAGGAACATCTCCAGATCCTCGCATGCTCACAGTCATAACGTAACAGTCACTCCATGGAGTTACAGGCAAACAATTCTTCCAGCCTGCTACCAGTGTGGGCAATGTGGCAATGGGACAGACATCTCACTCAGCTTCCAGAGATTTACAGAGCCCGACACACCATTTTTGGGCCCATCTAGCCCTAGCTTTCTATCTGCTATTATCTACCCTTTTCTCATCAAGCATTTCAGAGCAGAACCTAAAATGTATGAATCATCCAAAAATATCTCTGGCTAAGAATGGAAAAGAAATCCAAAAATAGCCTTAGCAAACTATTTTAGGGGCCTGTGTGGTAACCATAAACTGCCCATCTCTCTCTTGCCACCTTATTCTTACCTCAGATAAAGGCTCTTCTGGTTTTCTGTGGTTTTCAGGCCCTCTGCCACAGGCCCTAAATCCACTTTCATAAACAATATGCGGTGGGTCTTAACCACCCAGAAAAAAATATGATTAATTCAACTTTATCAACTTTATTTAGTTGTCAAAATTTCTCGGTAGGGTTTCAGGATTAAGCAGTAATCCTTGCTTTTGGAGCCTGCTATTCCCTACTGTTCTCGTAAAAATACAATACCATAATTGCCATTAACAGGAATTTACAACTGGCTTTTTAACAACTAAGTAGCCATCAAGGAGTCTTCATCCTAACCCTGTTCTGGATTTAGTCTTCTTAGTCTTTATCTTCTGCTTTCTTGAATCTTAATTCCTACCATAGCCTTACTTTTACTATGAGCAGATGATCCCTGCTGGCCTCAAAACTGACTGGTGACACATACTGTCACCTTGCCTTGCAGAAGCCAACAGCAAATCCAGCTCTCATACCTGTTCCCTATAAAACACAATCCACCAGTTACCACCCCTTAGGGAACTGGGCATATAGCTAGGATCATGCTGATACAAGTAGGATAAAAGATGTCTAGCGAGTTCTGTGGTGGGTTTTGGGTTAGGGTAACCTTAACCCTAAGGTTTACCCTAAGCCTAACTCCTACTTTGATTATACTCTCACCTCACCCATGTCACTCTATGTCATTCTGCCTCGTCTAGTATCTGTGAGCCTTAACAGATTGTAAGACACATATGACCAATGCATTTGACCCACTGTGCCCCACTGTCCTCTGCTCCCCATGGCACCCTAGAGCCCTCTGTTTGAGCTTTGGTCACCTGACAACCCCTCTATTTTCCAGTGTGTCCCTTAACCCTCTGCTAGGTGTTTGAACCCAGCTCTTTAGCCCACACTCCTCTGAAACCTGACCTCAATTCCTAACCTTTGTTTGAGCTGAGTAGTTATGGAATGAATTTCAGCTGTAGACTGGTAATGACTGAATGACCATCAGGAAAAATTGCACTGCCCAAAAGTGCTGCTCATCCCTTAGGGGGTTTTGTTATGGCTTGTGTAAGTATATGATATCCTTATTCTGTGGGGTCCATGTTTCATTATTGTAGCCTCCTTGTTCCATATCTGAATAGTTAAACTGATTCAGAAATAGCCACTCCATCTCTTGGCAGCATCTGATATAAACACTCCAACTGTCAGCAGGCACAGGGTCACCATGTGCTATTCAAGCTTCCTCTTACTCCTGAAGGATAAGCTGTGTTTGTGACCTATTCCCTCAAGACCAAGTTTCACGCTGCTGCTGTGGCCATGTAGATGATGACTGATAGTACCCCAAGGACCAGTCATGACAGACATGCTGTGTGCGTGAGAGAGGTATCACCAACCACGAGCCCTGTGGAGACACATAGGCCAAAGCATCGCTGGCTTTGGATTGCATTTGCGTGTTGGGCTACGAACCCAGGTACCTGGTTGGTCTTGAAATCTTAATGTATTCCTACAATGACCCTTCTCATTATTCATATGCATATTTCATTTTATGGGAAAGGAACAGGCCTTTTTTCTTTTTCAGAGGTAGCTTAAAATTTTTGGTCCCATAGCTTTTGAACATAAGGTACATGTCAAACGTAAGGTTACAACTTAAGTCAACAGAAAGCAATTAGAAGTTGTTTTATTTCACTCTGTTTCTTTCCTAACTTTATTCTGACCCTCCCTTTGGGGTCATTTATTTCTCACATTAGTTAGTAGTTTTTCCCATTTGGGGATTTGGTAGTTTTAGTGAAACATCTAAAGGAGAAGACCAAGAAAACTCTCTCCTTTTTTGGCTAAGAATGTTTGTTCTGCTAGCATCTGAATATAAAAACAACCTAATACTTGGGGCAAAAGCAGGGGACATCCTCAAGGGACTTTTTGAAGAGTTTGTCTACTTCTAAGCCTGTTTGAGCTTTTCAGGGGAGACTGTTTAAAAGATTTTTGGTTCACATTGCTGGGTTTTGTGGTTTTTTTTTGGTAGAATAATTTGAAGATATAGTTTTAACCAAGAGAAATGGATATATAAAACTAACAAAACTAACAAGCTGTTATATTTGCTCTGTGGTTTCTTTCTCTCTTTTTTTCATTCTGTGAATTATTTTTCCTTCCTTCCCTTCCTTCCTCATTCTTTTTTTCTCACCTTCTGTAATTTTTCTCTTTCTTTCTTCTCTTTCATTCTCCCTCTCCATCTTTCTCACTTCATTTCCTCATGTTAAGAAACGTAAGATAAATTTACACATCAACTTGTATTAATTTAGATGCCATGTGGTGGCACAGTTCTAAAGTGAGATTTTTTTTCCTTCAGATCTTATCATCAAAATCATCCCCAAATAGATTTCCTACTCACTTTGCATTTGTTTGTTTAAACTATCTCTCTTGGTATTGTAGCAGCTCAAGACAATTTTCCACATGCTGCCATTCAGTTCCCACAAGAGTTAACTCCCAGGCTTTCAGCTAGATGATTTGCCAGTTACTGAGTGATGCCATTTGAAGCACAGCCTCAGATGATGAGCCTGAGGCCCTTTATTTGGCATGCTTCAGACATCTGGAGCAATGAGAGAACAGCACACTTCTTTTTGAGTCATGGTCAGAGCCACTATTTGGTCCCACTCTTACCAAAGGCAAATGGTTGGAGAAGGTAACCTTCAGCTTCTTCAAGGAAGTTCTTCAGCAACTTCAGGGAAATCTGAACAGACCATGGATGAATCTGGAAGGCGAGGATTCATTCCATTCTCATCTCTGAATGCTTTCATGTGGGAATGACCTTAGTAAGTCCAGAACTTTTTTCCTTTTTGTCTTACTCTTCAGAGAGAAATACTCTAGTTATACAGTGAAATGCATCAGGGACTTTCTTGAGTCTTTTCATACTTCGAGTCTTTCCTTCCTGCTTGAGTCTTCTAATTATTTTTTTCCTTTCGTATTAATTTTGAACTCTCAAAGTAGAGAGCTTCTCCTCTCCTTCTCTCCTGTGAAGCTTTAGAAGCTTTACTACACTTCCAGCAGCACAGTGTTTGAGTACCCTCTCTCTGCAGTTTTTGCAGAACACTGCTTGTGGGAGGCTTGTCACTCATTCTGGTCGCTGCATTTACTTGTTGCATTCACACGCACTGCTCTACCACATTTTCAGTTATGTTGTTTGTTCCCTCTGACTGTGTCTGACACAGTGGCATGGTCAACATGCAGGTGGGATCAGCAGCAACATTTTGGTGCAGGTTTAAATGCCAGCAAGCCCTGAGGATTCCCAGGCAGTTTACTGTATGCTGTTTTTTAGACTGTGATATCTTGTCTTAAGAAGCTGGTTTGAACCCAGGGCTCATGAAAGAATATTTATGACTGGGGTGAATGTCTCTGTTTAAATAATCATTGCAAAAGCTGCCCCAGTAAAACTTCTTTACCTTGCATTTGATGTTCTTAACTGCTCAAGGTTGTGGGTAAATTCTCATTATCGCGTGTTAGCGAACAAGGCTGCTTATATGGATGAACCAAGTCAGCTTGGTGACTGTCAACCGTTAGTCCCTGTTAACATCAGTAAATCAGCAAGGGTCCTGAATGTGACTCTATCATCACAGGGGCAGCCAGGAACTTAACAGGGAAGGGAGCATGAAATATTCATATGAAAATCAGCTGAAGCAACTGCTGCTAATTCTCTGTTATGTATTAAAAGGAGACATACAAAAGGAGAACTTGTTCCATAACTCAGCAAAACAACAGTTAAAACCATTACAACAATGGAAGGGAACCTGAGCAACTACTTCTCCTTGTGATGGGTTGGATTTGTAATGTTTGCAGTATATTTGAAGTTGTGATAAGTATTCAGAGTGTGTAAACATGGTTAAATTATGTTATGCTGTGATAAATGTGGCATTTTGCACTCCCTCCACCTCTGTACTGGGAGGGAATACAATGCTGAGTAACTGAGTATTATTTTTACTTAATTAAAACCCTTCCTGGAAAAATGATGTTGGTATCAATTTATTTTTGTTTTTAAATCAAAAAAACTTATGAGGCAAATTCACTTGAGATACACATTTAACTTAAAATTACATCATTAGCTTCAATGGGAGCTGAATAGACCTGTTTCAGAACAATCTAAGAAGAACCACCAATGCGATCCGTGACCACTATATAACGAAAGGTTGCAATGTGACGGACACATTGCTTGTCTGAGAGCTCTTTAAGAGTATCTCTTTAGCTGTGGTTTAGCACTCATATGCTGAACCCAATCGAGAAGAAAGCTCAGGTTTTCTGCTAGTATGATGGGCTTAGCAGTCTTTAACATTGCCAAGAGTAGTTCCAACTGGGTTTCAGCTAGCACCAGTATATGAAAGCTGGTTTTCCTTTTGCTAAAGCTTTCAGATATGACCAGAAATTGTGGGTCCACAAAACAGAAAGAAAAGGGGGAGGGGTGGAGCACAACAATGCTCACAGTATATTTTTATACATATTTACAGAAGGAAGAGCTGTGCTATCCAAACTTGACCTTTCCCCATGGATGAGTCAAACATAACGTTTCATCCCAGCGAAGGCACAGAGAACATCTCAATGCACAGAAACATTTCTACACAGGAAAGGGTCTGGGAGATATTGACCCCACTTTGGGCGATTATGATCATCTCCTTCCTGGGTTTTTGTGAAAATGGAATTGTCCTCTGGTGCCTCTGCTTCCAGATCAAAAGAAACCCATTCACTGCGTACATCACACACCTGTCCATTGCTGATATCTCCTTACTGCTTTGTACCTTTATTCTGTCAATTGAGTACATTGCTGGTTTTGGATTTGCATATGGTTTTTACTATTACATAACCACCACACTATCTATTGTCTTCCTTCTTGGATACAATACTGGTCTCTATCTCCTGACAGCCATCAGTATTGAGAGGTGTCTGTCTATTGTTTACCCCATCTGGTACCGATGCCACCGGTCGCAGCACCAATCGGCAATTGTGTGTGCAATTCTGTGGACTTTCTCTTTTCTGATGACAGTAGCTGAATACTTAACATGCAAAGATGATTCGACGAAGGAACAATTCGACGATGGCAACCACTGCCAAGCACTGCTCATCTTCACATGGATCCTGACTTTCATGATCTTCATTCCTCTAATGATTCTGTCCAGCCTCATCTTGGTTATCAGGATTCATCGCAACTCCCTGAGACCTCATTCGTCAAAGCTCTACATCATCATTGTGGCCACAGTCATTGTCTTCCTCATCTTTGCCATGCCTATGAGGCTGTTGTATCTTCTGAATTACCACCACTGGTCGTCTTTGCTCAGCCAGCAGAATCACGTCACCATTGTTCTCTCCACCATTAACAGTAGCATCAACCCCCTTGTTTACTTCTTCGTAGGAAGCAGCAAGAAGAAGAGATTCAAGGAGAGCCTCAAAGTGGTTCTTAGTAGAGCACTTGCTGATGGGTTGCGGCCGAGAAGCCAGGAAGTTGGCATGAGTTTGGATATAGCTGAAACAATTTTCTAAAGCTTAGGGGGGAAACTTTAGGAACAAATAATTGGATGTGGAAGGTTTAAAAAACCACTGCAAAACTAAAAGTATTTTTCTTCCATAGAATGTAAAAAGCAGTGGTGAAATAGTATTGTTATCTTTGGTGGTTGAGCAATGGAAAAATATGGACTAGAATAAAGATAACTTTTATTTGTATTTTCTTAATTATTCAAACACATGCTACATCCTGATGTGACTATGTCAGTCAAAGATACCACAGTGGAAAAGAGACAGGCCAACAGAGAATATATAAAAAGGACACACAAATATGTTATAAATAGTGTGACATTTATACAAGCGCTGAGCACCCATAAATGCTATTGAAGTCATCAGGGCCTGTGTGTGTTCACATTTTTAAAAGTCAAACCCACTAAAGGCAGGATTCATGTTACATACTGGGATTTAGTTTTAATGGTTTCCAGTTTGTTTAAGTGCGCAAAAGAGCTGCTCCCTTGGGGAAACAGAGGAAGAAATCCACGTATGAGAGTAAGTCCCCATACATACCCGAAAACATACAGTGCAGCTTTGGTCTAGCAAGACCTTTAAGTATATATTAAATGGTCAAGTCCCTCTGTGGTTAAGGGGCTACACTGAATAATCTCCAGTGACACCAGCATTTCTCTGGGTCCTTGGATAATTTGGTACCTTACGCACAGGACTAGCTGGCAACATAGGGATGCTGTCAACTCACAGAGGGCTTTTGCCTTAATTATGAAGGGTGGGGCTGGCTTATCCCCAAAATGTCAGCATTCCTGTAGGTTTAGTTATTCAAGGAGTCTATGAGAAAGTCAGTCCCAACACTTGCTGTCCCAGCCACTTACTTAGTATTTAGGTGTTCTCTGGAGAATATATATTCCCTGTGTGGCCTTTCTGTTTTGTAACAATCAGTTTTGGATAAACGGAAAAAAAGAAAGGTGCTTCACACAAGGCAGGACTTGGGCTACACCCCAGCCACACCAATCCAGCTGACTGCCTCCCTCAGCTGTATGCCAGGGTACCGGGGTAGGTATTTTTTGGAGTTTAATTTCCAGGGCCACTTGCCCAACTACATCCAAGCTGCAGAGTACAGAGGAAGACAATAGCAAGGAAGGGATTGGGCTAGGTCAAGTGTATCACACAGACAGAATGTGGGAGGTCTGGGCAGTCAGAGAGCTATGGCACTTTGAGACGTCTGGGAGATGTATTTGCTTCTGGCCCCCATGGAGCTCCAAATTCAGCAGG